TATTATTTGCAATCGCAAATAACAAACAAAAATTTCCGTTTCTCTTGGTACTTGATTTAAATTTATAATTTTGTCCCCTCTACAAACTTTTGTGCTACTCTAACGTGATGCGCGTAACTTACGTTCTTTGCACGTTAAGTTATTTTATTCTTCATTTATTCGAGATATCGGAGAAACTTATACACATTTTTCCTACTACCATTTATGATATTTGTTTCTAATATCTCTTGAAATAAAAAAAGTACTAGTTTCGCCTTCTCTTCTCGTTCTCTGGGATTGAGATTTAGGGTATAGCATCAGAAAGAGCTAATGAGCCAGCGTACCAACCGAAATGCCAGGAAAAGCAAGCCTTGCTAAACGAGACTCCATTCTGAAACGCCTGCAAAATGCCACTCAACGAATTGAAAACGCAACAAACGACAAAGAAACGGACGTCAACGTCAATGAAATAAAAGCACAGCTTTACTGCTGCAGTTATGGTAATGACAATTTATCTTTTTGACTTTTCCACTGAAGATGCAACAACCAGCAACTTCATCGACCCTTCATATATTTTGAAGATCAACTGAACAACTATGTTGACAGCCACCGGAAAAATGCCTAGTCGTCCCGATGATCACGTCAGCAACTAGTTCGCCCGTATCTGCAGAAACATCTTCCGCCCCAACTACAGCTTTGACGACATCAACAGTTTTCACTCCAGCAACATTTATTGCACCAGCAGCAACCTCTGCATCAACAACAGCCCGCAGCTTTGCACATAAACATCAACCAGCAGATAGGACTTCTTTTCAGAAGAAAGCGAACAATCCACAGAATAGTTATAAAATCCCAACCACCATCACGACGCCATACTTAGCTCAACCGACATATGCTACACCAACAGATCATCATCAGTATCATCAGCAGCGACGTTCAGCCACAATTCCCGATTACCAAAGATCAGAAAAGAAAAATTTGACGGTGACTCAGTGAGATAGAATTTTTGGTTTGGACTTTTCAGGCCACAGTGCACAATGAAATGATTTCTGATATCGAAAAACTGACCCACCTCCAGACTTTGACGACAAGAAAAGCAAATCAATCAATCGCTGGGTTTGCCTGCAACAGCGTGGTGTATACAACAGCCCTACAGGAACTTCAGAGAAGATTTGGATGACCTGACATCATTGTGAATAATTCATCAGACAACTTCGAAGTTTTCGATCGCCATCAGCACAACAAAAGGACTCACGCATGGAGTCTTCTTCTATCGCTAGCAACCTTGTTGAAACCTTCCAGACTCTTGGATTTGCAAATGACCTCAACTCGGCGATTTATGTACAGTTTGCAGTCAACAAGCTGCATCACAATGAACAATTAAGATGGACTCAGTATCTTGTAAGCAACGACATACAGTAGCCAAATCATGCCCTGTTTAACTACTGGTAACGAAATCTTGCCTTGGCCTGCGACTGCCTTCCTCAAGAAGAAGTCTCTAACGTCAAGAACACCTCACGCAATCATCGTACCTCGATTCAACTGATGACAAATTTTCAAATCGGATTGATAAACGACCTTCAGCCAACAACAAAGGATTCCAACAGAAAAGCCGCAATTTTTGCCCATTCTGCAACCAGGATCACCACTCTTCTCTTTGCGAAAAGTACAAGCACCAGTCAATTGAAGCAAAACGAAAACTCATCATCTCGAAAAAAATTTTGCCTCACTTGCGATCATGTGCAAAATGCAACCGACAACATCACAGCAGCCTTCAGGACGAAAAATCTACTACCAGCAGCTCATCTCAGAAGACATCTTTCCTGTCATCACATCATTAATCACAGACTCATAACTCGGTGAATCGTCAGCATCAGATATTTACGAACTCTCTGTTACTCTACTTACCAGTTACGTTGAGATTTGTAAACAATTACATTAGCACTTTTGCTTTTGTAGAAAACGGTAGCAAGGACAGCTACATACTAAAATAAATAGCCGATTACTACAACTAGAAGAAGGCTAATCTACAGAAAAACAAAGCGTCTCATTAGATGATGTTGATAGCCTGGTTTGAGCAATGCTACAAATCGACTAATTTCAAGTGAATTTTAAGGCCCGAATTGCAAGCCTGAATTGCAATGACTTTGCCCGTTGCATGAACACAACAATTTGAAGACAACTGAAGTCAAGTTACTGAAATATGACATATAGAAAGAAAAAATCGAAAACTGAAACACTATTTTAGAAACGCAACTGATTATTAGAAAATTGATGTTTGAAATGCTACCGTAAACCACAGTTCTTAGTTTTCTTAGTAAATATGTATTCAAATTTATAATTTTTAATAATTATTTTCTGGTGTTTTTTCTCGCTTTTAAAGCTCCTTTTTGCCTTTGTTTGCTCAATTTGCAAAGTTCAGCTTCGCCTTTGAGTAATGTTTTTCTAAACGAACCTTTTATAACTGTCTTTTGGCTGTTGAAAAAGGTCGCTCGAATCAAGCTGCCGATTTTGAACAATCTGCTTTAAATTTCAATGAACCATACTTTGATTTTTTATTTTTGACTTTTTAACTAGCTTTTTTGACGGCATTTTTAAAATCATTCAAATGGTATTATTATCCTGGGCTTGTATTCGAAAAAATTTTTCACCTGTGATCAAGTTTTTGGAAGTTATGGGGGTTTAAAGATTGCCATTTTGGCCAATTTGGGACAATTAACACGCGATATATTTCGCGCTATTAATGCGTAAGCCGAGGTTTAATCGTCTTGGAAATCGTTCCAGATTGGTTGAAAGAATCTTATATGCCCTAATTGATTTGTTACAAGGAGCAAAGTTTATCCTCTTTCCACTTTATATGGCGTGTGGGGGGTTGGTTTTCACAAAAAATCGTAAATTTTAGAAAAAAAAAATTTCTTTTTTATACGTTTAATTTTTTTTATGTTATTACTGCTCCAAAAACCTTAAAAGGCAGTCGAAACATTCAAAGCTTCAAAGTTAATATATGATGGCAGAATGTTCCCCCCTTTAAGAAAAATGAAATTAGATCGATAAAAATGGATTTTCGGTGTCTAAAAAATTGTAAATATAATCGATTCCTATGTTACGTTCAGACAACAAAATTGGACTAAAAATGGATTTAAATCTATTTTTTTGCGAAAACAAAATGCATTATAACTTATTTCGAATCCATCATAATCGATTTTATAATAAGTAGGAAATCACATTAAATTGGACTTTTTTGCAGGTTAATTTTGTTTCGCGCGTCGTGCAAAATTTTGCAAGAGTTTCTGCATTTATCAAATGAGTTATGCGGAAACTTTGCAAAGCGAGTGGACGGCCTATTCCATTTCTAAACCTAAACACAAATTGCAAAAAGATTCCGTTAAGCTCTCCCCCCTAACGTTTGCCCTTTGCTCCCTCCCCACCCCCCCCCCCCCCCCCACTGAACTCCCCACCACCTGAACACCCTCCACCTCGACGTCCCCCAAAGTTTCTAATAATTTAACAAAAATGTTGAAAGGAACAAAAAATTCAGTTTTTGAGTAACATAAAAAAGTAACAAAAATATCAAAGTTAGGCAGAAAAAAATTAAATTGATCAACGTAATCAACGTAAAGTAATCAACGTAATCAACTTTAGTTTAAAACGTAGAAAAGATTTTATGTGCGTTGAAATTCGCATCTTAGTAGTGAAAAAAATCGATTTTAATTTAATTTCCTTGTCAGTGTCTACAAAAGTGGAAAAAAAATCGATTATAATGGATGAAAAAAGGATTTTGTTGCCTCGAAAAATAATCATAATATAATCCATTTTTATTTGATTATAATCGATTTGTTTTCATTTTTGCGGACACTGACTAGGAAAGTCAATTATAATCGATTTTCATTCATGGAACTCCTATGCGGGTTATTCGGTTTTCTATTTTTTCAACTTAATTTGAAATGGGAGCTGGGTCAACATCATAGGTTTTAAGTATCATTTACCAGAGCAAACATGATTTTGAAAAGGATAAAATATAATAAAAGGTGGTTAAGCAGAAATTATATAGATGGTAACTACAATGATGGAGTAGCTTTTAATAAATAGTGTCAATTGATTATGTATTTCGACATTACATATGTTCAATACACTACTAAAAATCATCTTCTCGTTTTATCTCAGACAGAGAAGCTGACAGGAAGATATCGTATTACTTAGAAGAGTTCGCTGTTCAAAATTCTAATGGGAACATAATCAAATACACCTAATTGTTAAATACCATTCAAGACAGTAAGACATTTAGGTATTGTTCATGCATGTTTAATATGCACTCAATTGGTCTCTTTTTAGTTGTTATTTTCCTTGTTTCTACTTTCCCATCTTGCAATTTTCACCCCTTTTTTCGTTCTTCCCATTGCTCGGCAGACATAGACGTATGAACAAAATATCATGGAACAAGGTGGGTAGTTTAATGGATGAATCAATGTAATATAACACTGAAATGGTACAGTGAAAAATTATATGTCGGTTGTATAGTTAGTGTGTATGTTCGTGTGGTACAAATGCAATACAGCGTTTTCTGCGTTTTGTGCAATAGTATTGAGCAGTTATTGCAGGGAGCTGTATAAAATCTACCTTAAACGAATTCCATCTTTTTCCCCCTTAAACCTAAAGTTACTTAATACGCGAACAGGATAAACAGGCGATTACAAAAGAGAGAAATATCTAATGGTGTTTCTGATAGAAATCTTCCATCGGCTAAATGAATGGAAAACTATTTTTGGATGGGAGAAATGATTCCTTTTTTACCATCGACCGAGAAAACACCATCTACATTGGTGCCGTTGTTGTATAATAGTATCTTTACATGCGTATATCGACGTTTAAACAGTGCTATAAACATAGGCGAGGAGGATGGGACATAGAAAAAACGCAATCAGCTACTATCGCCACGACATACCAACTAGAGTGCACCATATCTACTGCTACGTTCCAAAAAAAATAAACAACAACAACAACTCGCAAAATAATATTATGCAGAGAAAATTGCAAACTAAGAAAAAAAATACGGGAGCAGGGCCCGGTGCAAAGTATAGTGTATAAATATATCAACAAAAACAACAACTACAGAACAAACAAATTTAAAAACTGTTAGTCGAAAGGAGTAGTGCTATAATGCTTCCAAACTGTATTTTGAATTGATGCTGTAATATTGCGTGTTTTTGATATGCTGATGATGGTCGAGGATGCGCTGTGTGCTTGGTATACTTCAGTAGTGGGAAAATAAACAGACAACGAGAGGGAAAAGAAAAAAGAAAAATGAGGACTGGGAAAAAGAGGAAAGGTAAGGAAGAGAAAAGAACATAGCACGCGATACTAGTGAAACTACACAAGAAAAGAACACTAATACATGCAGAGGCAAAAAGACATACTCGCACCACGCAAAAAAAGTGCAAAGGGAGAAAAAAGATGAATTGTGTTCAGTTTACTTTTTCTCTCTTGCGCAATTGCAGGTAACTCGCATTTCAAATCAACTCCTTTGTTTTTTTTATAAACAAAATCTCTACTTAATTCAACTCCGCCAACTTGTATTGTTGTGTCACGTTTTGTCATGCTGATATTTTGTGGCCATACATAAGACTAAAAAGCGACGATTCTTCTTTGATAGTTGATACCTCCCTTTTATACCCGACGCAACTTGGTTGAACAATAGCAGCAGTGTATTGTAGAAATCGGAGATAGTGAACTTGGGTTCAAACTCAATTCCAGACAAAAAAGACTGGCTGTTGTTATCTGGAAAAGAGACGGTCATATCAACTTTGAAGTTAAACAACAAAAACAACCATCCAGACTACAATCGAATTACATGACTACCATCCAAGACTATGCGGAAGTCCCAGAGGAGTAATAGACAATATTTTTTTAATCCAATGATTATCTTTATCCGCCGCTTATTTCATCCATAATTTATGATGTTACCATTATACCACGAGATCCATCTGAATATTATCACCATTTGAGTGGCGATTTTAGAGTGCAATTCAGCAGACACCTGCAAGTAAAAACCAAAGCAGCCACAAAAAGAAAAGATTTGGCAAGTGGTAAGTTTTTCTTATAAAATTTTTGTAAAAAACTTTTGAGTTGTAAAGCGAGGGGATGAATTGGTGGGCGATGATGTCAGTAGGGTACAGCGACAGCTCGCGGCAAACTCGCAATACTACGAGGTCAAACTGTGTGCGTTTGTAGGTCTCTGGAATCCAGAGACAAGTCTTCAACATGATCAAATTTTGTCAGAACAATCAAAGAAAATGAAAGAACAAAAAAGAACAAAGAGAGTGTCCTTGTTGCGGAATCCGCTTACAATTCCAAAATACACAGTTTGGCCTCGAAATGAAATAAGATATTTTTGGCTACGTTTTCTCATTCCGAAGGAGAAGAAGAAAAAATATTTTTCGGAGAACATTAAAGTAGCGTCTGAATTATTTTTCGGAAATATCTTCTCGGAAACCGAAGACCATTAAAAGGGTTGAGAAATCATGACACACCTCATATATAACTTAAAACTGACTGTTAAAACCCAGAATTTCTTTTCCACTTCATGAAGCGCTGGAAGAATGGTATATACTCGCCATCTCTTTTCCCGAATCGGGATATTAATAAAAAATCAGCGATCTCAAAATATTTTTTTTCCTATTTTTTTTTGCCTATTTCTGACATTTCCCGCCTTTTTATCATGTAATTTCAAGGGAAAAGATTTTTTCGAAAAATACACGGAAGTTTAACAGCATGTGAGCATTCTGCTGCTACACATAAACCATAAACACTACTTACTCCCATTTTAAACCCCCTCCCCCCCCCCCCCCCATGTTACCTTGTAACGAATTTCCTCCCCTTTTGCAAAAGGGGAGGAAATAGGTTACAAGATATCTGTTCAAGCAGTGTTATAAACAAAAAACCGGTATGATAAATGACTTTTTGTCTCGTGAATGCGCAGGTATTCGCAAAAGTTTTGATTTGATTTGTCGAGTTTTTTTATAAAACTGCACGAATTTTTCTGACAAGAGTTGTTGATGTCCTGATAGTTTTTCTCAATTTTCCTCCAATTAACTGTCTGACACAAATCAGGTTGATTGCGATCATTAGGCTGAACAGTCAGCCCATTTTTTTCAATGTTAGTCGCACATTTTAGGCCAACGTTTGTGCAAAATTCAAGCGTTAAACCTGTGGAAAAAGATCTTTTTGCTATAATTTTTTATGAAGAATATGATTTTTGTATATCATTGCATTTTTTCTATTCGTTTTGCTATATCTTGTTGGTTTGCAATGTGAACTTTAGCCTCTGTGTCAACTTGCTCGTCTATTTCTTAAAATAGAAATAGCCCCCTAAAAAGTTTTTCCGAAATAATAATAAAAAAACTGAAAACTAAGACTGGGTCCTTTTGAGCACTTTCACGTACTAAAATTACATGAAGCGTTTTCGAAATAGCCATCTGAACACTATAAACTATTATTTAGGCTGTGTTCTTTCGAGCAATTTTATTTACTGGAAAAAATGATTGAATAGATTTGTCTATTTTTCCTACAAAAAAAAAAAACATTTTTGTTGTGATTTAGGTTTGAAAAATCTCAAAAAGCTACGTATTGTCGAGATAATCAGATCTGTCATTCTGACTAAATTCATTGTTCAATGCTTGTGGGTTGAAAGTGGTGAAACTACTCACAGTGTAAATTTACCATTTTTAATATTGCATCAGCGATAGTGCCTGTTTGATTTGATCTCCTCTGACAAAAATGATTCCTCTTCCATTTGAGAGGTTTTTATGGCCAGAATTTTTGCGCCAAAAGCCTAGCATTTTTCTGAGAGTAAGCACGCTTTTAATTTAGAAGAAAGCTGAACTAAGAAAATGTTTTAAAAAAGATATCATTAAAATGACTGTGAGACCAATCTGTGCTACTTAATTTTAATTGAAAAAAAAACTAATTTCATCTCGTTGACTCTCAGCGTTTCCAGTTTGCTTGTAGCTTCACTCAGTATTTAGAAAATAAATTTAATTTCTCGTAAGTTTGATGAACATCTCAGGCGCAGGGTGTGTTTTCCTCTTTTTCTACCTCGAATAAACCTCGTTTTTTGAAACAAATGTCCCATTGTTGAAAAAAAAACTGTTATGATTTACCATTTTTAACATCAAATTACCTGGAGGTCAAAACTGAGATACCGACTATCAGTACTTTTCTACGGTTTTAGTTTTACAGTTTTTACGATCAGTCAATACGCTTGAGATTAGCAATTATTGTTAAATTGGAACATAGGTTTTTTTCCCTTTTTTCCAGGTATTTTGTTTGCTAAACAGTTCCAGACATCACGTTGTTGCAACATTATCAACTTGTAATATACTTTTTTCAGGTGTCATATTTATTCAACAAAATCACTTGAATAATTGAACGGCTCTAATTAAAGAAGATTTAGTTTAACCCACTGCACTAACGGACTTCTGAACCATATTTTACCTGACATTTCAGAAGTTACATTGGTACTATTCAAATTAAAGTTTTTTCTCGGAATGATGTCTTCTTCTTTGTCAGGTCGGCTAAGTTTGCACAGCATGATTGTTTTCAGATTCAAGTCAATTTTGCTGAAATTGAAAAAATTTTTGGTTCAATCTTATAGATTGTAAATTGAACAGATTTCGTGTAACTTTTTCGTGTAACGTCTTCAATTTTTCAG